TTTCATGTTCATGTTCATGTTCATGTTCATGTTCATGTTCATGTTCAGACGAGACCCAAAGTGGCTTGGTGGAGCTGTTTGTCATAGGGAACATATGTAGTCCCTTCCATTCTTGACTGGACCTAGCCATTAGGATGGCTTAGAAGTGCAGTAGCTGCGTATTGCTGGTATTATGAGTGTACTTGTGCTAACACACTAATTCTGTTACATTTTAATTTTAGAAATTATGAGGACTGTAATGTCATCTAATGGTCCTTCTCCTATGGCATTAGCTATGGATTATGCATGCAAAAATTGCTTAAAACTTCCATTACTATGAAGGCATTTCCTGGACAAAGAATATCTGCCACAAGATCCCTTTTTCAAGCAAGAGTTAAAGATAATGGGATAAGTTGTAGGTTTAATTGGGTTTCACTCACCTCCTCATTCTGTCTGCCATTTTTATTCTTCCTTTCTTCTACTTCTTTCTTCCTTGGCCATCAGACTAGCTTAATCACAGTGGTCAGTCATACTTCTCCCAGAATAATGCTACTTGTACTCTGCAAGTCCAATAGGACACAAAACAATTATTACAGTTTCTGTGCTTGCATAGAGATATATTCAAACTCATTCTCACTGTACCGTCCCAAGAACTATGTCTTACCACAGGTGTGCTGAAGTTTCCCAAATGCTGGTCTGCTGTACTGTGTACATCATAACAAATGTGGGTGTAAGGCAGAAAGGGAGGGAACTATTACCTTAAGAAGAAAGATGATGCTTGGGTCATTCACTCCAGGCATTGTAAGTAATTGGCTTCAGATTTGTTTTGTTCTGGGGAGATTTTAATTAAGCTTCTTTATATGCTGTTTAATAAACATTTGTCCATAAGCGGTATCTTGTGATCCACATCAATAAAGCAGGAGGATTAATTTGCATGTTGTTGTTCGTTATTTATTTAAATAGCCACAGAAATTATACTGAGTGTTCTACTATGGCATTAGTGATGGGTCGCTGCACTGTCTGTATGACATCCAAAAGTATCAGGATTGTTGTGTGTGAGGTTTGGTTGTTGTTGTTGTATTGTTGTTGTTTTTCTTAAAAACAAAACAAAAACCAAAAAGCAAAACATAAACAAAAACTTAGATTGAAAGAACATGGAGGAAAAATTTAATGTAAGTAAGTGATACCTAAGGTCAGAAGGAGAATCCAGTACCGTATTTTATATCACTGTCTGGAAGCAGAACACTAGAGAAAATATTTATAAACTTGGAGCGGTCCCCCAGCTGTTGGCAGTGAAGGTGTTATTTCCCCTTCAGGTTACTTAATTTATTACTGAGGTATCCTGCAGGTCAACGTTCCCTTGCTTTTTTCCCCCTTGCAGGAGAGAAACGCGCTTTGCCAAGAGACGGGTAGAACATGGGGATGGCTGCACTGGGTCAGATCAAGGTTTCATATAGCCTGTATCCCAACTCCAGCAGACACTCTAATTGGATGCGCGGAGAAGGGTTGGAACAAAGCAAGCATATAATACTTCCCCCAGCACTTTTCAAGCCTCCAGCTCTTTTCGGCTCAGAGTCTTCCTGAGCCAGATGTGGCTCTGTATATTTGGTAACCCTCCAAGGATGTATCTTCTCTGAAATTGTCCAGTCTTTGCTGCAGTCCGCATAAACTTTGATCTTTCAAAACATTGTTTGGCAAGAAGTTTAAAACATCAACTACCCCTGTGATTAGAGAACCTTCCTGTATCTCATTCTGAAGTTTGCTTTTTCTAGCTTCATCTAATACCTTCTAGTTGTGGTGGATGCAATGATTTTGTAACTTTCCATTATATTCTCATTTCCTGCTGTCTTTTCTAGTCTTGAAGGGTTCTAGCTTGTGTACCCCCTGTTCCACGTCTTTGATCATTCTCGTTGCATTTCTTGGAACCCTTGCATTTGATCCTTTCTAATAAATCTAAGAAGTCTGAAGAGAGAGATTCTTCCTTTGGAAAGTCATGTTTGTTAATTCGCATCTTCATTCTTGCTTGTACTGGATAAATGAGTGCAAGCCATCAGTTCTTTGCAGTCTTAATTTTCTTTTTAAACTGTTCTTCATTTCTTGCATACCAAGGCATCTCTGAATTAGAGGTTACATACCACCATGTATAATTCACATATTTCGTTCTCAAGTCCAATTAGATGTATGGAGTGCATCATCTTTAGCAGTACTTACTGTTCATTTGTCAGTTTGCTCCATGATTAGTTCCATCATAGTCAGACTCATTCTTTGAGTCACTCATGAAGAGGAATTCCAGCGACTCCCAAGGTTTTTCCACAGTGCATGCTAATGCAAAGCAAAAATAAATAAATTTTAAAAAAAAATCATTAAGCTTTTCTGTGATATCCCTGTTTTCTCTAATCTCCTTGTATACCTTGACCATCACTTGGCACTTCAGACTCTCTGGCAGACCTTCTGCTCCTGACTTGTTTGAAGAAATGACTCACTGCTCCTTTGTTTCCCTTTTCTAGCTGTTCTTCCAATTCCTTCTGTCCTGCCTTATTACATTTGAAGTGCCAGAGTTTACAGTCTTTTTTGTTTTCTACATTTGGGCTTGGTGTTGACTTACCAAAGGATGCCTTTTGATTGTGGAAACCAACTATGAGCCATGCTGATGTCCGTTTGCTCTTCTCAGGTCTTTAATAGGTTGTGAATATTGGTTCTCTGCTTTCCATGTGGTTATTGTTAAGCAGCTTTGATGCTGCCAGTCACATTTTAGTTCTCCTAGCTGTCTGTTCGAGCTTCCTTCTAACAAGCTTTCTCCTTTTTATGTGTAGGTAGACTCTTTGAAGTTAAGAACAACAACAGGAGACTCCTGAGTTTTCATTGTTCCTGTAGGGATGCTCAGTTTTGCTGTGTTGTGGTCACTGATACCTTGTGGTTCTGCAGCTGTAGACTTGGAACAAGATGATTCCTGCAGCTCAGGACTCAGCCAAAAACATTGCCTCTTTGTGCGGCCTTTCTTAGCAGCAGCTCTGTGGAACAGCCTTCAGCACTGATCTCATACTTTGGGCTCTGCGCTGTATTCCGCTTGTTCAGTTTACAGGCAAGAAGTTGAAATCCATCTTCCATTTGCCTGTGATCCTTCATAGCACAATGTTGTCAGTATAGCCATAGTCTGTCCATGCCTGGCAGTCCCAACACTTGTTCGTCCTGATGAGAACAAACTCCAGGCCCCTGCTACTTCAAGAGGTGGAGCTCTGTTTTCCTTAAAGTCTGACTTTGTCATCAGCTGTCTTTCATTTGTATTTGTTTCCTGGGATGATGCAAAAGTGTCCTGCTAATTGACTTCATTTTTGGGATTTGCCATAGGACTTTGGTTGGTGCTTTAGTCTGAGGCTTAATATTCCAGTGATCCAGTTTCTCTACCACTTTCACCCTTTGTGTAGAAGGCAATTTATTGTTGGGTTTACTACTCGTCACCCTGATCAATCTACATCCTGTGTGCCTGTTTTCACTATTTCATTCTTCTCACCAGCTTTGCTCAATAACCCTGAATCTTCATGTCTTCATTTGCAGTAGCATGGTTCATGCTTTTGAACCACATAGTCTTCTTAAGTCATCCCTTCAGTTTAAAAATACTCATTGAAAGGTTTAACATGGTAACACAAACATTTTGGTGAAGTAGTGCCAAAGGAACTGATGTGCAAGGAGAAAAAGTTGGGTTCAAGAGTTGAGTTTAGAAGCTACCAACATGTAGGACTACCAGCTCCTGGCAAAAGTTGTAAAAACAGATGAAGTTGTGATAGTTTAAATAAACCAAACAGCTAAACATGTGTTTAAATTTGACTTTATATTATTATTATTATTGCCCAGTAAATATCACTGTATTGTTGAGTGAATATAGTAAGCTAACTTTAGGTAGAATAGGTATGTGTTTGTGTGTTGAGTAAACAGATTTATCAGAGTATCAGAGACTCAGTGGGAACAATTATAAGATCAAAGCATTTCACAGGCACTCAGGTATTCGAGATATTTGCTTAAGGCAGAGATGTGCAGGACCAATTGGAGATCTATTTCAGTTAGGAGAAATCCTGTGTTGCATGTAGCATTAATGTAAAATAATATAAATAATACTATTGTCTGTGGGAGAGAACAAATACCTAAAATGGGTAATACAGACAGAATTGGGCTTGTTGCATGTCTGCTCTTCTAAATATCTCAAGAAATGTCAATATCTATTGATAGAAAGCTTACCACCTAAACCGCTATAGAAAATTCATATAACAAAATGTAATTGACTTCATTTTGTTTATAACTTTAATTCTCTGTGTGGGGAGGATTACTCAATGTGTAATACATGCACATGTTTGTCCATTCATAGGACTTTTAATGGTTTACTTTATACTGTGCTCTTTTTGGGTTGGTTTGTTGTTTAAAATGATTTATCGTAGTAGGTGTAGGAGAAAGAGATCGAACTTTCTAAAAACTAAGTCTCTCCAAACCCTAAGTTTTTCCTGTAAAGCTTAAATGCTCTCGTACATCTGAAAGCTAAAAACTTGAGGGTTATGGACAAAAAAAAAAATTCACAAAGATGAGTACTTTCTTGCTCTGGAAAAGACTGGTATTTCTCTTTCAGTGTCTGTTTTAGAGTTGTGCTGCTACATCCAGTTCTGCTTTTGGGTCATTGCAGCAGAATGATTCTTCTGTAGATGTGCCTCAATAGTGTACCTATGGAGAGCAAACATTTAAAATAACTGCCTGTGTGTTCTCAGCTTGGACATTATGGGATTGCAATGTTCAGAAGGATGGCGTTTTCCTTGGAAGTCCTCCCTGAAATGGGAGACTAGAGAGAGTGCTTTAGCTTGCTTCTCTTGCTCAGGCAGGAGGATCTAAGAGCTTAGGTTGACTGTTGAGTATGAGATTGGTACGGGGGTGAGGGCTGTAGCTGAGGATTATGCCTCCAGGCTGGTTAGCCTACAGATACAACTGAACTCAGCGTTGTGTCTTGACTCACCATTTGCTTTGCTTGGCTCTCCTAACAGATACCGCCGCAGTATGGTCAGCAAGGCGTGAGTGGCTACTGCCAGCAGGGCCAGCAGCCGTACTACAACCAGCAGCCGCAGCACCTGCCGCCCCAGGCACAGTATCTGTCACAGGCCCAGCAGAGATACCAGGCCCAGCAGGTAAGCCCTGTCCTGGAGCATGAAACGTTCTGTGCGTGGCGAGCAGAGCCTGCCTGACCTCTTTTCAGGATTGTGCTGGTGCAAACAAAATGAAATACACGGAGTCACTCGACATCCTTCCAGAAAGTCTTGGAGGATGCACATGGATGCACACTTTTGGGGTTTTTTTAATATCAGCTTTTTTGAGCGTGGCTGGTATTCATACCCCAGAAACGACTAATTCTGTATTCAAAAACAAATATGGATCAGATGATGGTGGAGCTTGAGGGGGTTTTCTTTTGTTTTGTTTTGTTTTCCCTCACAAAACAGATGTCTTGCACCTAATATGGTCAGTGTTGTTTTGTTCTTAGTATTGGTTCATTTTTTAGGACCTAAAAATCATTTCAGGGCATTTCGCAGCTGCATTATCATTGGGAATTTTCTAAGAGATATTTTTATAATTGATATTACAGCTTTTACTTTGATTATTTACTTTGCCCAACAGGTTAGTAAAAACCCATAATTCAATATGCATTTCAGTTCTTGAATTGTATCTTATGTGCTAGCTATTAGAATTCATTTTAAATGATTCTGTTTTTAACTAAGATCAGAAGTGGCAGTGTCCTAGAGCTTGAGAAATACTTGGATTTTAGATACTGAACAAAATGGACGTTTGTAGCCGATAAAGCTGCATGTGTAAGCTGAGTTCTGTCTGCAGCCTCTGCTCTGTTAATCACAGAGAGCTGGTCTGGAAAGGAAGGATGAAGCTAAAGCTTGCTTGCCATTCTGGGAAATATAAGAAAAGTGAGTTGTGCTCAAGACTGGTATTAATGAAAGCATCAGCACTTGCTTCAGATCACTAGGAGAAATTCGCTCAGGTGTGGCTGATTAAGTTTTTGAATAATGCTGGTATAATGTAGAAATCTCAGTTTGGAATAAAAATATTATGCAAAGTAAACTTAACAAACGATGTTGTAAGTAGCAGTGATGCAGGAGACTCCTCTCCTTTGATTTTAAAATTAAACTGAGGTGATTTCACTGTGTAATTACATGTTAATTTTGCTTCATCTACTTTTTAAAATTCCATTGAGAGTGTTAACTTGTTTTTCATTAAAATGCTGGATCATTTATTAAATAGAATTTTTAATTGTATTTGTGATATTCTTGTAAATGTTATATCTTTTCATCTCTTGTAGGAGTCAGCTATAGGTAACTGACTTCAAGTTATAATGGACTCAGTTATAGGCAACTGACTTCAAATATTGTACTTGACTTCAATTTTCTCCATTCTTAGTTTGGCATTAAATGCTTGAATTGTCTATAACTTGAAAGTAATGTTCATAGGCATCTTGGTAAAATCTTAGTAGATGAATTCTAAGTAATACAGCCTGTGAGAGAGAAGAAAAACAGCTCTTCTGGTCTACATATCACAGTTTGTGAAATTGAAGTAGGTTTGCTGCCTTGGACGCTTCTTCGTATTTTAAATACTGTCAGTTGAATGGATTGAGTATTTTAGTTTAGAGGTATAGAATGCATGCTGACTATACAGGACTTATGAAATAACAAGATACTGATAAATCTGCTGATATTCATCCCAACTTTTGTTGTTGTTGTTATCCTAGACTGTGAAGTGAGAGTTTGTGAAGTGGAGAGTATTGTAGAAGAGCAGGAATCATAGAAGAGGGTAAAGGCAAAATGGGAATAAAACCTCCCATATGGTACAGACTTCAGGGATATTAGATGAAGAAGAAAGCAGGGAGAGATTCACAGGTAGAAGATAGCAGCCTTGTTGTATCCAAACTACTGCTCTGAGGATCTGGTTGTCTAAATCCAGGCACCAAGCATGAAACTGTGGTCTCTGCATTTTTGCCTGAATCTGCAAGTGCAGATTGTTGGTAAGGAGTAATGACACAGCATTGCATTTGGTAATCTTCAGTCTGGGAATGACACCTGAAATTTTTCATGGCATGCAAATGGCTTTGATTATCCTGTTCAACTTCCTGTTCAACAGTAATGTTCAACTTCCTTTAAATGCTGGACTTCAATCCCTGAATTACACAGGCTTTTCCAGGAGTTTTTATGTGTAGATGCAACTATTTCATATAAAAGTAAAAATCTAATGTAGTTATTTCACAGAATCACAGAATGGCCAAGGTTGGAAGGGACCTCAAGAATCATGAATCTCCAACCCACCCACCACATGCAGGGCAACCAACCTCCCCATTTAATACTAGACCAGGCTGCCCAGGGCCCCATCCAATCTGGCCTTGAACACCTCTAGGAATGGGGCATCCACAACCTCTCTGGGCAGCCTGTCTCCAGTTCCTTGTTTTAATATTAGTTTCATATATTCTAATTTAAAAATAAATTATAAAAACATACAATGTCAGTTGCACCAGTTAGTGTATTTTGATTTCTCTCCTCGCTCTTAAAACACCATTTCCTGTTTATCAAATACTGTCAATTAGAAAATGCGAGGCAATCTCAATCTTACAAGGACTAATTATTAGTTCTTAACATTAGTTCTTAACATCCTTAGTTCTGTTCTTCTTTTTGGCTTGCAAATGAATTTAATTCCTGTCTTCTGTACTCTGCTAACCGCTTTTAAAAAATCTTGGTTCTTGTTGCTTATTGTGATCAAAATTGGCATTAGCAAGTCCTACTACTGAATTGCACCAATTCTGAGGAATGTACAAGTTGATACGTTCAGCGTGTTGGCCTTGAGAAGGGAACATGGCCTCTGAAGACATTTTTGCGACATACTGGCTAGTCGGAATCATAGGTAAGCTGTAAACTACAAGTATTCATCCTAGAGACTATGACCAATAATAAAGAAGTAGCTCCTGAGAGCCTCATCTGTGGCTTAGTACGTTATTATCCAGAGTGTTCTACAAAACAACAAAAAAGGTTGTCTTTGCCTCCAAAACGTTTACAGCTTAAAGATTAAATGTGGCAACAGATGAAGTTACATCAGTAAGGAGGTATGAATAAAAGGACAGTGCTGCTCAAGGTAGCTAGTAACATGAAAGGCATTCATTTAGTTGACTGTCATATTAGGATATTCCTTTCATTCTGTTGCTACAGTGGAAAACTGAATTTGAAGACCATTTACGTGGTTCATGATCTATTCCTTGAATGATGCCCAAATGCTCATTAACTTTAAAATGAGGTATTCTTTTATTTCCCAGTCTTGGAAAATGCTTACTATGATTGCCTGCCTTCTTGACAAGGAAAATGATTTTGAAGAGAAAAAAAAAAAAGTATTAATTTAGGAAAAAGAATACAATTATTGTGAACGATTATTGAAGTTTGGGTGGCACAAAGTCTTGCAGTTAGAAACAGGTAAACAGAAATTATTTTTCACTCCACGTTATGGTCAGGGAGAAACACGATTTGTTTGCTTCTAGGTACTGAGGTAGGAGAAAATGCCTAAGAGGATCCTTCTCATTCACTTGCTGTCAGAAAAAAAAGTTGCACACTCTACTCTCCTCAAGACATATAGATTGACTGAGCTGATTAGAAAATTCAATTACGAAACTTTTAATAAGTCTTAACTGATATTGAAGTATTCTCAAATGCAAATAAGAGTATGCCCTGTGCAATTTGATCAGCTTTCCTGACTCAGTCTGTGTAGGCATCTGTGAATCCTATTCAGTTCCTTACAGACTGAAAGTTGAACTTGCTTGGAACAGGAGCATTTGTGAGTTGCAGAAGTTTAATGTCCTATTTCAGGGTAAATAAGCCATCCCCGTGACTACATACTTTGAGATGGAAGTGTAATTCAGCAGGTTTTACTTCCAGATAACAGAGTCCAGACTAGAGAAAGGGGACTGCTCAGTAATTTGCCTTCTTTTTCCTACTGTATTTTCTGTTTCCCTTGTAGGCTTATGCCAGTGTGTTTGTTTTGGAGACTATCAAACTGGAAGTAGGGTTTATTCTGGGTTGATGGTGGGCTTTTATGTGCCACCAGTTTCATTTTATGTGAAATCCTGCAGTGTGTTGAATTGACTATTTTATTATGTGAAGAAAACTGATACCAAGTTTCATACAGATAATGTTGTATTTTTGCACTATTAGAATGTGAGTGAGCTGCTGCAGTCAGGTATAATTCTTTGTGTTGTGCCTTTGAATTGGTTCTCATCTCCATTTCTCACGTACTGTGGATGTATGAGGCTATTGCTCCTTTTCTTTGACTCACTTGGATGCAATATGCAATCTTGTCAATAAAAGTAAACGGATAAAATAATTTCTGGGTCTGCTCCAGCGACTAGTGGCTTCTCATTCTTGAAATAAATATAGAGAGGAAGAAGGAGAATGGAATTTATTTGAATGTTTAAACTATAAGTTGTTCAGATCTTTGTAAAATGGATCGCTTGGTGGCAGAAAGGAAGTTTCTTAAGGGGTGATTTGATACTAATACTGGCATAGTTTATTACACAGCTGTATTGTAAGCCAGACTCAGTCATCTCCTCTTCATATCAGGACCTGCTGTGTAAAACACATTAAAGGAAGAGCTTTATTTTTAAGCATATTTATTGAAGGAGCATCAGATTCATTGATCATTAGATATTGCCAGTAGATGTAGGTATTTCCGTGCTTTTTAACACTTTTTTTTTTAACCTTTAGTGCTCTTTAAAGGAAAAAAAAGAGAAGGATGTGTTATACTACTAGAGTGTTGCCCTTGGCAGGGTTTTTCATCTTGAAATAGCATATAAATGAATAAACGCTTCAGCTGTTTTCGCAGTTTTAAATCTTTTGCTATAACTAGTAGTGCTGTTTTTTTCTCAAGGATGTAATGTAATCGCAAGCTTAAACTGTCATCATTAAACATTATTTTGTTAAGATAGTTTGATGTATATTTTGGGTTATTATACTTTCCAAGTAGCTTTGAAATGGCTGTGTTATATATTGTTTTATGTAGCATGTATTTGTATGTACTGAGAAAGGATCATACCTTACAGATCTAATATGTTGTTCTATGAGTTGGGACCCTATCATTTTATTTTTTTTTTGACAAAAAA